TCTCTGGTTGTAGTTTCTCAAATGTGAAGGACGTGTCTGTCAATGTGTTATTTAATTGCAGGTTGGGGTTATGGGCCGATGGTTGAACAAAACTCACATTTAAAGAGTCGCCTTAGGTTCTATTAAAAAAAAACCATAATCAATTGAGAAAATAATTTCTATAATTATAATTGATAACTTAAATAATATGTTTTGTAGCATTTTTCCAAAACATGGTTTACAAGATGCTTTAAAAGGTAGAAACAACAAACATGAACCAGTCATGAGTAAAAACAACACCATCAATACAACAAATGAATAAAACACATTATTTGTAGTCATATGTTTGTATATATTATATATTTTGGAGACATTTGATGTTACCTTTAGCTCGAGAAACTTGTAACAGGCCTTTTTCACTGTTACACTGCACGTTCGTTATACAAACGGTACACACAAACTGTTTATACACCTTTTGTGTGCTGTAGCATCAGAAATGCATCAGCCTCGAGCGATGTTTGCTCATCGTAGATGCAGCAGCCATCACACCTGTGTATGTGCATCTGCCAGCTGTATCAGATGACAGTCCTATTGTTGATGGGATTATACTCAGGCTTGTACAGCTGCTGCCTGCTATTTGCATGCAAGGCACAATTGCATCATCTATATAAGACACACATGTTCTCTCTACTGAAAATTTAAAAAATATATACGTATATATACACAAGCAGATCTGTGACATCAGAATAGGAGTTTTCCCATATTTGCACATAAAATATGTTGGAGGTGAAATGTAACAAGAAGATCATTATGTGGCCAGCCGCTCAGTGGTGATGACATTGTTGTCAACAGGTGGGCCGGGTCGGTCTATTCACCCGAGCCCTTCCTCTGCTGTGTGGGCGTGGCGGGTCGTCTGGAATTACAGTAGTGTTCACGGGTTACTGGGCAGGAGAAGAAGCGATGCATCACACAGACACTCCTGTTGGTCATACAGATGATATAGCTCCTTCATGTGACCGCTGGGAGGTGGCCGCAATCACAACTGATTTCAACAGGCACGGGCTGATCGAACAGGACGGCTCGAGGCAGAAATGAGGAAGGAAGTTGAGGAGCTGTGGATGTTCAGTGGATGATATTTGTATTATTCACGTGTTCAAGGTTTTCGGAGGGGAGAAACAAACAGTAACAGGCGTTCTGTGAGGCAACCATGGAGGTCGACTCTGGGAGCCTGCGTCCTCACTCCCGCTCTGCAGCGGCCCCGGGCGGCGACTACCTCCACAAGCCTGTCACAGTGATGGCGATGGGATCTCTGATGTCTGCTGCAGGCGGACTCCTCTTCCTGCTCAAGTCATGGGGGGTGACTGAAGCGTCCTGCTCTTTAGCCTCGGCCTGCATGTCCATAGGGCTGTTGTTTGTAGTGATGGGGCTGGTGTGGATCCCTATATTGAAAGAGAAGCAGAGGCGGAAACATTATAGACAGGGGGCTTGAACAGAGGATGGAAATGACAGTATGAGGTGAAAGTGGAAACACTATTTTTGTCTATGATGATGGAACGGTTTCCCTTGACACATCCAATGAAGTCACAACGCTCGTGTGAGTCTTGCTGATAACCACTTGTGTACATTGTACTTTGACCAGTGTCACTGCAGATTGTTTCTGTCAGTGAGAATTACACATCACTGTCCTGCAGGTACATCGGCTAACTGTATCTGTTGCATTAGAGTTGTCTCCACATCTGGAGTCTGGGTTGGAGGATCTCCCCTGTCACCATGTCAACATCTGTGCAGGTAGAGCCAGTCATGGAGAGGAGGTATGGAGGAGTTGGCCGCTGCAAGTGCTCGTTCTGGTTCGCAGTGGCCCACGACATACTCGGCGTCTTCATCATGATGGTGGGGGTGTTCGGAGGGCTGGTTATCCATGATTTGTTCATCTACGCTGGGGCCATCATCATCTTCCTCAGCCTGATCTGGTGGGTGTTCTGGTACTCCGGGAACATCGACGTGCCGCCGGAGGAGCTGGAGGACGACGTGGGCATGATCAAGCTGAAGAACAAAAGACTCAGCCGGGTTGTGAGGCGCATGTCCGACCGTGTCTCGAGCGGCATCAGGAACTCTTTCAGAAAGAATGGCAGGTCCTTCAGAGGGGGCAACAACAGATCTTCAAACACTGGTACAGATGTGTCACTCTCCACTATATATGACACCACCTTCGCCTGCTCATCCAAAGAACTTGTGAGAGAGACACTGGCAATATGAACTAATCCATGTAAATGACACAGCGAGACACTGAACCTGGATCTTTATATTTGTTTCATTTGCATGTCTGTTTATTCTGTTGAAAGGAATTCTGCGTTTGCTCCGCCGACATGCACTAGTAATGATTAGACAACACTGATATCTTATCTACATAAGATACACATGGTCTTATCTAGCTGATAACAGGTAAACTTTGCACACTGTCACAGAGTGCGTCAAATGACACTGATTTAGAAACTACAGCTTTCTAATCTGACTGTTTATTAATCATGTTTTGTTGATTTGTAAACTTTGAAGAGTGGGGTTATTTTTACTTATTTATTTTACGTGCAAAGGTAAATTTAAACTTCATAAAGCTCTGTTGTAATTCAGCTGTCCCTAACTTCACTGAAAAGTTCCTGGAAGGTTTCAAGTTGTGCCACTGTGGTAATGTATTTTGAATGCAATCGGAAACCATGAACCATGATTAGCTCTTACAATATTTGTGATGTCACTAATTGTGCTGGAAGATGTGCATCAGAGAAATACAAACAAATCCTCCTCTTCTGCAAAGGAAAGTGAAAACTGTCTTTTAGTGACAAGAAACCCGAAGAAAAACACGTTTAACACGGCGGTCTTTAAGTGTTCGATGAAAACACTCTGACAGTTTAGTTAATGTTGGTAAATTATTAATAATCAGTTAATCATTACATTGTAATTTAGTCTTAATTCATTTGTAAACAAATGTATTAATGCCTTTTGTTTGTACAATTGGTTATTAGTTAAGGTTAAGGCTTTATAACTATTTCCATGACTTTTCCATATTAAAATTATAAAATTTCACATGGTCATATTTTGAAAAATATCAAATTGTGACATTTTTGCCAAGATACATTTGAAAATAACAATTGAATATTTACTTTTCAAAATATGATCTTTATTTTCTAATTTACACTCTGTTCTCGTTTATGTTGTAACTTTAACATTTTCTCCTTTTCTTCAGTAGCTCATGTGCCTTTATATTACATTGTTATAAACAAGTTTTAAAATAGTGAAAACCTGAAGAACATTCACACATATACATGTTTTAAACACTGGCAACAAATCTGATCTCTGAGTAAACAATGAGCCATTAACATTTATAATCAAAAACAGACCATTTGAAGCAGCTCCACTTGTGATCCAGGAGAGGGCGCTCTAAAACTTCACTATCAGCCTGACCTATGGCGCGCCCTATTGGTCTCTCAGTAAACTAAGCAGCCAGTGATTAGAACAGTAGTTCAATACTCCCATAGTTATGATGTTTGCAAAACCATCCTGAGCATCTGAGAATCAGTGTGTGGAGGTATTTTGAGTTCCAACCCACAGATGGCAAAGCAACCTGCCTCCCCCGTGATGTGGTGCCCTCCCTCATCATAAAGGATACTGACATCATAACTACCAATGAGGTTCTCCATCCATTCCAACCAGGGTTCACGGCCCTTCACAGGACGTGACGAGGTGAGGAATAACTCTCTGTTGACTCTGGGAAAACGCCATCCTGGTTTTATTAGATCCTGGTGCCCTTGTCACGTACGGGCCCCATCATCATTAGAAAGTCTAACATCTCCTGTCACTTCTTTGCTGATGATTCACAGCTGTACCTCACACTAAAATCTAGGGATTCAAGGACATTTAAGGCTGGATGGTGAATATTTTCCTTCAGCTGAACAGTTCCGCCTGCACGTTCTGACGTCAGGCATGGAACGTTTGTCGCGCCGTCTCCATGGTCACCACAAAAATGTATTTTTTGAGCATTTTTCAAAAAAAGGCCCGGTCGCCATCTTTTTTTCCCCTACATTGTCGAAGCAGAATTTGGAGAATTTGGTGCAATCAAGCGAAAATAACAGTATTTTTTTAAGTCAATACACAATTGTTAACACACTCCACACCTGTCCCGGGAAACCGGGCACGTTCTTACTGTCTAATAATCATTTTAGTATCAATCAAAACTGTGAGATTCTATTAATGTTTTATCTTTATATTAAACAAGTTACATTAATTTAGTGCAGATTTTATACTGAAACCACCTTTTTGTTTTTCGGGAAGATTAATTACTGCATTTGGCATTAAATTAGAACATGTCTTACCTGCAAAGGAGGTGATCCACCATCTCACTCGGGTCAGCAGGTGCTCCTCCACGGGGGGTCCATCCGAGGAGCCAATGTTTTCAGCAGGTGAAATTTGCAGTGTAGTTTGTTTTCCAGTGAAGTTTATCCGGGAGGTTTTCCAGGGGACCCGCTGTTCAAGAGGTCAACTTTCCAACACATAAGTTTTTGCATCGGGTTAACTCAGGTCAAGTCCAGGTGCAAATGAGAGAGTGGACATGTCTGCAGCTCTTACGTCACCTCGGTGAAGCGTCACCGCTCTGTTGCCATGACGTGCGAGAGACAGGGCTGATGATTGTTATAAATTGCTGGACACCTGTGTGAAGCTAAATGCAGCAACTCGTCTGTAATGATAAACACCATCTTGACTTTGTGTTTGCGTTGCATCAAGTTGTGCTTTTTTTCCCCTTTATTTTTCAAATACAAAAAAATTTACGGACTAAAAATTAAAAACAAAAAAAGTAGCTAAATAATGAGTAAAAACAAAGTAAGGTATTGCAAGTGGGCCGATAAATCTTTTGCAAAACAATACAATTTTGGTGGTGTACAAAAACAAAGTGTCACGTTAACCAAATCAAAACCCCAGTTATATCTCCACACATCCACCTCTCTGCATGAAAATGATACTTCTGTAGTTCGATAACACGTTTTTACAAAAGACTACAGCTCCCACCAGGCCTTTCGTGTCATATGACAGCTGTATGTTTTGTCATGTGACCTTGACACTGCTCAGTCGGCACTCCGTTTCCCTTTTTTCGCAGTGTCACAGGCTCCAAGCTGAAAATACCTCATTTCTCTCCTAAACGACCCGCCACAGTTCAGACAGGAGGTTCCATGGCTGTGAAATTACATTCCGGTTTTGCCTTTGGACGGTTTATCTGCATTATTGGCTTTGTACAACTCTTACATGTCAGACAGTGGTAGACTCACAGCCCCAGCGGCTCCCCGGCAGGCCTCTCTGTTCACCGAGTGAGCTTCAGTCCCCCACGCCGCTGTTGGGTGGGTCCAGCTCGGCCACAGAGGCGGCATGGCCCCGGTGCACGGCTAGCCGGTGCTCGTTGTGAATTAAAGCCACAGAAAGGGATGAACCACGTCGGTGTTCAACTGTTCAGCTTGGATGTCACTGCTACCGGAGTTTGGCTGTCAGAATGAACGGTGAGTTTTGTTGTTTGGTTGCTTTCTGTTTGTCATTCAGCTATAAAAGCATAAAATGTCAAATCATGCATGCAAGAGGAGATTCAGTAACTTGTTTAAAAGCTTTTGTGTCTAGACAGTTTTCTGCTGACTTGTTCTAAAGCTAAAAACACAAGTTCCCCAATGTTAACATCCAACAAAATGCACTTCTGCTGTTTTAAACCTTGGTGAATTATTAGATTTGGTGCTTGACTCACGCTCCAGAGAAAATCAACATCATTCAAATGCACTTTCTGAGGTTTTGAACTGTTACATCTGTGGACGCTCTCCATTCAAATCTGTTCAGTGCACAACTACCACAGAACCACACACTGTCCAGGTGCTCTGTGGCAACCTGCAAAACATTTGATAGTTTAATGTTGAAGTGGCAGGTAAACACAAAGAGGCTGTAAGTAGTCATGATGTTATAGATCTGTGGTTCGGACAGGTTATGTGTAGGTTAAAGGACGGTGACTGCTCCAGCTGTCATTACTCTGCAACTGCTAAGGTGCCTTTGAGCAAACTACGTAATCCAGAGCTGCAGACTATAGAAGCCTGTGTAAGAAGTGGAAAACTCCTGGTTATTATTTATAACGATATACAATATAATAGCATATATGAATCACAGAAATGCATGAACAATGAACATTAAAGTACCAAATTGTGTCATTATGAATATTAATATATGGACTGGACTAAAGGAACAAAGAATCATAATTAGAACTGCAGTTTACAGTTATATTCATTATTATACTCATAATCAATTTATCTTCTGGTTACTTTTTTTAGTCATCAATTATTTGTTTAGTCAATAGAACTAAAGGAAATTGTGAAAAATGTTTCCCTACTTAAGTGATGCCTTGAGGTGCCTCATGCTCCAAAAACCAAAGTTATTTTACTTACAAATATGTAAAACAGAGAAAGGAGCAAATGGTTTTAGTAGAAATTGTAGCTTATTTTTCTGCCGATCAACACATTGATGAGTCGTTTCAGCTCTAGTTGTAACTATGTAATCAACACATTCAAGGCTAATATACAAATCTTATTAGAAAAAGAGAAAGTCCCTCGAGCAGTATTGCAGAAATACTACATATTATAGCAGATATTACTGATAATAAACACAACTCTAAATACTGCAGAATTAGCCAAAAGGTTATTTTTCATCTGTAGTGTAAATGATTTCTCCATTATAACCAGACTAAAACTTTTTCTTGTCACTCTGACTGCGGTAGCTCATGACTTTCTTCAAAGTGAATTTCCTTCCTCTAGTATTACGCAATGTCTGAGAAATTGAGTCTGTATTCTAATAATTTTCCTAGTCTGTCATCAAACTGAGTTTGGGTTGTTTCCTTTGTTTGTTGTCACGTCTGCAGGCACTCAGCAGAGTGATACCAAGAGACAACACCTCCTGGAGAGGCTGCTGGATGCTGTCAAACAAGTGAGTCACCACTTATCTGGTTGAGTCCCATAAAATAACATATGGCCAGTGGCCAAATGTCATATAGTAGTTTGACTGGAAGAAGGAAGAAGGAAATGATGAGGAATTGATTTTTACCACAGATTCAGATCTGTTACTTTCTGCCTTCAATTCAAGTGATTGTTTAGAAACGAACACACAGAGAAAGATAGAGACTTCCTTAATGTTAATGCTGCATTTGCACTGTCATGGAATCAGTTCACGTCAGAAGTATGAAGTGTTAGTAGATGTATTTAGCTGGAACAGGGAAATGGACAATTTTAGTTCCCTTACCCACTGTAGGCTACACCACCAAAACACACAAGAAGAAGTAAAACCCAGCACTGTTCATCTTCTGTTCAATCAAATACAAATATTTCTGGTGGATATTAGCAAAATAAAAAGTGCTCTTAAAGAGTCATATTCTCTGAAGTGTGCTTTCGCCACTGTGCTTGGAAATGCAGCACTGACAGATGAGTTTTTATGTGATGCCCTGTCGTATACACAGAGGGGAAAGAGAAAGTGTGAAGTGCATGCACTGGATCAGGGCTGATCTGTATTTGTGTGACATTTAGGTTTAAACAGGGAGTGAAAACCAAAAACATCAGAGACATTTAATAACCCTAAACCTGCAAATCTGCAAACCTCTGTTTAACACAGTGTAAACATCCACAGCTCTGCATTTCTTTTTTTGAAAGTGAGATCAAAGCCTTCAAAGTTTCTTTTTTCTTTTAAATCTTGAATCGATTCTCTGTTGTTCATGTTATCTGGTCGTGATCAGGACATTAACCACTAGCCAAATCGCAACCTGCTGGGTTTGTGGTATTGCGTAAATATCTTGTGCACAGCACCATCAGTACAACTGCGTCAACAAAATCCAGTGTGTGTTCTGTGGCTACTCAAGCGATCCAGCTCCTTGAAATGTTAGAAGTGTGCTCACCGAGACTTTTTTGAGATTTACATGTGGACGGGGTTTTCTCCAGTTTTTCTTATCTACCATCAACATTTGGACCACTGTGCACTCTTTAAATTTACATCAAAGAGCATTCATTTCTGAAATTTACAATTCCCCCGTGTCATACAAAGATAGTGGAACTATTAAAGTCAATGCTAGATGGGAACAGGAGCTGGGGAGAGAGTTAAATACGGGATGCTTAAGGTATTGCATAGGGCTCATCTTTCCAAATCTAGGCTTTCAGTAACATATCCAGATGTTGTAGACAGATGCAGTAGATGCCATGACACTCCTTGCAATTTAAGCCATATGTTTTTTTGTTTTATTTTATGTCCAGAAATGCTCAGGTATTGGGATGGATATTTCTAAACTACGTCCACAGTACTTGATTTCAACTTTATTTTGTTGCATTGGAACCTATTTGGTATTCAGCATTTGTAATTTAATTTTAATGTGTGTTTATATGTTGTTTCTGCTTAATTAATGTGTCTGTCACATACTGTTAACTTGTTGAGTTGTTGAGCTCATTGAGTCTCACTGTCCACTTCCCTCCTGTTTGAAATAAAAAGAATAAAAAAAGAAAGAAAAAGAGAAATGTGCTCACCGTGTGCTGGAGTGCGGTTTGACCCCAGCTGGCAAACACTGAAGAAAGAAGTATTTCTTGGTCAGCTATTATCATTCCCCTCATATCTTTCCAGTGCCAAATACGCTTTGGAGGGAGGAAGGAGATCGCCACAGACTCAGACAGCAGGTAAGAGAAGCTGCCTGTTACCAAGAGACTTTTGTTGTTGTTATATATCTGTGTCTATTCAGCGAACAGGACGTTGTTTGGTTTACGTGTGTAGATCCATGTCACTTGATGCTGTAGCTGTAGTTTCCGTCAGAGGTCTACACTTCTTATTACACTGAAGCAATAAGAAAGCTCTGTTTTTTAACTTTATGAAATTCAAAAAGAAAAGTAGTGCTTGTGTGAAAAATGAGCTTCCAGGTTTGTTTCATCAGACCACAGTGATTCCTCAGTCATCATCATCATCCCAGTTTCATATCCTCTTATTTTAAGAGTTAATATTCAGGTTGTGACTTCGGCTTTTGAGCATTAATTACGGTTCAGGATTGAAGTAGTTCTGCCTTGTAGCCAGCAAAAGTTAATAACAGATCTTTTAGTGGCCTCGTAAAAGGATTGTGTGGTGCACAATATGAGCACAGTATGGACTGTTTGTAAGTTAGTGGTCGCCTCCAATTTTCAAAGCAATAAAAATGGACATCCTCCACCAGAAAATAGACATAATTAGAACTGTAGTGGAGTTTCAAATGACATTAAAACAATTAAGAAGTGTGCATACTCCTTTATAGCACTGTACATAACCTGTCTTTGTCTCTGTCTCTGCAGGGTGATCTGTCTGTGCGCCCAGTTTGAAGCGGTGCTGCAGCACGGCCTGAGGAAAACCAGAGGTCTGGCCCTCACCGCCGCTGCTCTCAAGCAGGCCGCGGGCTTCACCAGCAAGACCGAAGCAGGTATGATACTTAACAGGGCCGTTTGGTTCGCTGTCCGAGGAGACACGGTCTGTTAAACTCAGGTCTGAAGTTGAAAATCAGGGCAGAAGCTTGACATTAGCCTCCAGCGTTCACCTTGGAAAAAGGAGACCTGAGAAAGTAATAACTTTGCTACAGGTAGTTATTTTGGAAGTAATGAAGTGTTGGAAGATGTAGATGTGTCGGTGGGAAGCTGCGAGATGCAGGGATACGTGATGGTTAGAATACAGATAGGACTCTCCTGTCTGTCTTTGCACCTCAGTCTCTCCGTCTCAGTCTGCGCTGGGCAGCGCACATGCTGTGACTTTGCACCCTTAAAAAGTACACAAGCGAAATTACGCCGGTTAGTTTGTCATTATAAATGCATGTCATGTATTCCAGCACTGTTTAAAAACCCACAAAAGTTTATTTTGAATTCCAGTCAAGATCCCAAACAGCCTGTGGCATGCAGAACCACAGGGACATGAAACGATAGTGAGTACAAAAAATGCAAAAGACATCTGGTATATTTCACGTACATGTAACAGTTCAGCTTTAAAAACAACTTGGATTGTTTCATTATAATTCAACTAATGTGTATTTTGTTTGTAGCTTGTAAAGTGTTGGACACGAGGACAGCATATACAACACACTATACTTTTATATTTCTTTTCTTACCTTGGGGATTCTCTTCCTTCACCTCTTATTGCTCCCTGAGGAAAAGAAGTGCATTTCTTATTATTTCAAACTCTTGATCCGACTGTTTTTGTTTGATTAACTTAAGTTCTGCTTCATCAACATAACCCATTATTTTTCAAATGTGTGAATTAGAATTGATTTTAAACTATTAATTATATAAACATGGGTATAATAATTATTATATATAATATAATAATTTTTTCCCGTGCAGTTGAACTGTCAGTTTTCAGGCTGGTTTGTTTAAGTGCGTCTTGCCACCACAGATGTTTCATCCATTTAGTCATTGCTTTTAGCTGAATACTGTATTTTATCCATTTATCCACTCTGTCAACCATTTATTCATTACTTTAAGATAACTCACCTCTTACGGACGAGCTTCACTGACCCTGCAGGTAGTAACCAGTAACCTGTGTTAGTGGACAGACTGGACAGAGCACTGACTTGGCTACAACCCCCTCTCTCTTACTTTTAGCTCTTTAGTTTCACTTGTTTATGCATTACATTTTGGCTAACTGTTTTAACTGTTTATCCATCACTTTAAGCTAATTATAATAATTAATCATGTTAACCATTTATCTTTTTCAGCCGTCCATCACTAACTATCTCTAGTAGCTTCTCTGCTTGTTCGGTCACTACTTCTCATACACTGCTGGTCCCAACTTGTGGGTGTTCAGGTGTTATACTCCACTCAATATGTGGAGTTATTTATTTTTTAAATGAATTTATAATTTATTTTTATCATATTTGAACTACCCCACCTCTCCAAACACCCCCTGATAACCGGGAATCACTGCTCCACGAGGAAACCAACGAAGTCTGGAAATCTTCGAGATTCACTTTATTTGCAGCCGTTACAAATTACAAAGAGCATTCTGCTGCTTGAGAGACATTAGTTTCACATTTTACTAAATTGTTTCTACTGCATCATATTGAAGAACCTTGTGGCTATTAATTCCACGTCGGGGGAGAAATGCATGACTTGTGTAATGGCTACCACCCCATAACCATTAGCATATCTGACATTTCCTGTATTTCACAGTCAATTACAAGAAAGGATTGTGGCTGAACTCGTGGATTTCAGGCTCATTAATGAAGCCAAGCCCCCAAAGCCAGAAATAGCAGACATCATTTTAACATATTGTTCTGAGGTTATATGCTAATTATACGCCAAAAAAAAATAATAAAGTGGCATAACTCTCGTTCATATTCGTTACTGTAACTCACCTTAGAAAACTTTACAGAGAAACAGACTCAAAGGTTATTTTTTTTTTGTCTTTTATTTTTTTCCCCCTTTGTTATAGAAAATAACAAAACTGTGTGAGTTCTGAGGTCAGTGAAAATATAGAAAGGCGACTTAAGGGACGTCAGGACGGAGCCGTGTGAAAGGAGCTGTGGATATTTGTTAATGAGAGAGTGAAGATGTGCTGACTCTCCAGACTCCAGAAGTGTTTTTGCCGCTGCCTCGCTGACCTTTGACCCTGTTGTGTAGTTGTTTTTCACAAGTGAGATGGAACTAATTCTCTTCCTCCTTTGCCTCTTTTCCTCTTCTCTCACCTTGCTTCACTTTTGTGTCTTGTGTTCTTTTCATCCCTCTAACTTTTTATCGTCTCTCCGTCCCTCCTTCCCTCTTCTGTTCCTTTCATTCCCTCCACGCTTTCACATTTTTTGTCCCCAACCCTTTTCAACCCTCCAATCCCTCATTTTGTCTCCATTTTCATTTCGTCTTCCTCATCACGACACCTTTCACTCTCCTCTTCACCGTCTCCTCCATCTCTTTCCAGAGTTGACTTTCTGGTTTTACGTGAAGGAGCATCTGAACCGCCATGAGCTCCAGCGGTTCTACTCACTTCGGCAGATTTCCTCGGAGCTGGGCCGGGGTCGTGCATGGCTGCGTTGCGCCCTCAATGAGCACTCGCTGGAGCGCTACCTGCACACACTGCTGGCTGACCGCCCACGTCTGGGGTTGGTACTGTGTACATTTGTGTGTGTGTGTGTATTTGCATTTTCACATAATGACAAAATGTTTTTTGAATTTTAAAAAAGCTGGTATTTCCTCTCTTTGTCTTGAGTAGAGACACTGTTACCTCATCTGTTCTCTGTTCTGCAGAACTTACTACGAAGACTGGGCTTTTATTCTTGATGAAGAGAGAGCGAGTATGCTCCCCACCATGGCTGCAGGTGAGCTTGTGTTGTAACACTGGCTAATTGCAGGTAAACCTGCTATACACAAGACTGTAGTAGTGTTGGTCAGATTTTTAGCCATGCTAGTGCTATAGCTACATAGCATGGTACACATTAGTGTAGTTTGATATGTTATACAACATTATCATTAATATGCTAATGTGGCATGTTATGCTAACATAGCATGGTTAGTTTTCTAAAATGCATACAGTTAGTTTTTTTTACATGCTAATGTTCAACATGTTATAATAACAAAGTACACGTGTTAACATGCTAATACACATATAATGTAACATTAACATAAACATATCCTGATGTCATGGTAGTTTTAGCATGCTAAAATTTGTTTCGTTAGCATGATAACGAGTGTGGTAACGAGTTAACATTCAGCATGTTAGCATGCTAACAATAGCAACAAAAGATAACAGTAAAAAAAACGGTAACTGAAGCAGGTAAAGTACAGCTGAAACTGATTGATCTGATGGCGAAGGGCTTTTTATACAGAAAAAAATGAATGCCCTAACCTTATTAATGTTAATGGCAGTGCTCTCACTTTCTAGCTATTGATGAGCACAACTCAGACGACCACAACCTCTAAAATATTAAGAATATTTACCATTGATCTTATGCCAGAGCTTTTCCTCTGTTTCCATACACGGTGAGATCGCCTGAGTTCATCTTGTGCAAAGTGCTTGGTGAGCAGTTCTGTTCACCAAGCACTTTGCACGAGTTCAAAAGCTTCTTATGATTTAACAGGCCTGATCTGTGATGAGTGATATTTTGCCCTCTCTCTCTCTCTCTCTCTCTCTCTCTCTCTCTCTCTCTGTCTCTCTCTCTCCGCTGCACTCAGGACTGAACTCCATCCTGTTTGCCATCAACATCGACAACAGCGACCTGAACGGCGGGGTGACTCGAGGAGGAGGCTCGTCAGTCTCCCACCTCCTCAAGGAGTCCACGCAGGGCATCGGCAGCCTGTGGAAGGAGTCGACTCAGGGGGTCAGCAGCTTGCTGCGAGAGATCAGCACCGCCACGGCGGTGGTACCCGGCTTCACCCCGCGAGGGGACGGAGCCTCAGACCCGCTACCTGTCCTTCCACGCAGCACCTCTGCCGGTAGGGAACTGCAACATTTAACATGCTGTATTTTTATTAATGCAGAATACTGTTATTTTCTCTTTGAGTGTGTTTGTGTCACAAAGTCATCCCAGAACCAAAACACAAACACTCCAACTACATATGGCTCAGCTGAAGCGTGCTTAGTGAATGCACTGCTAGAACAAATCTAGTGGATGCAACACAAGGCATCTACAGCACAGAGCTGCAGTAGCGATGAAATCCCCCATGAAATAAACTTCCAGGATGTTGGCCTCCTTATTTGACCTCGTTTAGCTCTCTCTGCCCCGGCCCGTCCCATCGGGGAAAACTCACACCATTTTCTGGCCCGTGCTCAGTGAAATGAACAAGCTTTTAAATTCTAACCGTGCGGCGGTAAAACTTTCCACCGGAATGAATGCAAATGAAATTCTTGGGGCACCACCTTGAGTTGGTGCCCCAGCTTCCTTAAAGTGGGAAGAGCCATTCAGATTATTCAGCGGTCGACTCGCTAAATGCGCAGTCAGACTTTTTGGCTCTGAAAAGGAAAAGAGATGAAGCACAGAAATGCACTTTTAATGGTGTAATTGAAATAAACTTAAGATGCTGATGTCACCATAAATATTAAACTTCGTATGAACATTTGGAGGGAGCCAGTCCAGAAAGGTGAAAAGTACTGAATTAATTTAAGTTTCACTTAATTGAGATTGAGCTTTTTGTTCACTTTTTTTTTTTTTCATCTTTATCCTGCCCAGACTCAGGGCTGAGGAAAGAGCGCCGTAGGAAAAAGAAGATCACCAACATCATTTCCTTTGATGATGATCTGGATGGAGGGGCGGAGGATGAGGAGGAGGGGGAGGAGGACTCCCAGAAGATGGGCACGATGAGGAAGAGTCACACTGCTCCTCCTCAGAGCAGTGTGGAGGAAGGGATAGACCCTTTGGAGCCGGACTTTCCCCCGTCGCCGGCCCAGAACGGCCTGGTTGAGCCGGGCGTAGTCAGCTGGGTGGGGTCGCCCCATCCCTCTCGTACGCCTCCCATGACTACACCTCCTTTGCCTGACAGTAAGAGCATAGACAACGAGGAGGAGGAGGAAGAGGAAGAGATGTACAAACCCAGAGCACAAACCCAGGAGGAGGAGAGGATCAGCTCTGATCAGTGAGTCACGTGACTTCACGCCCTGGGGGCAGAGTACCAGTCATGGTTGTCCAGGAAACGTTTGTGAAATTAAAAAGGAGATGATGAAAAAAATACAGTTATAAATTAGTTATCAAATTGTTGTCAAATTAGAGGCTCCTGCTGCTGATGAACAGGTTCTAAGAGCCGGTTTCCTCCGGTGTCTTTTCATCAGAAAACAAAGGCACTCAGAGCCTCAACTAATAGATAATCAATCAATAATATAGCTGCAAGCTGCAATTTGCAGATTTCTAACCCACTCAAAAGAGGGAAGCAGTTCAGATGGCCACAATGCAAGTTGCATTATTTTATAGATCATTAACATTATTATTTCTTACTCTCGTCATGACGTTTATTCATGACATAACAGACAAAAAGCAGCTCCTCGTACCTGCAGTAGATGCCTGAGTGTCAGTTTGCGCCAGTTTGGTTAAAAAATGTAAGCAAAAATAATGGGGCTCAAGTCGTAGCCCACAGCCCAACTCAGTGAGTCTATTGCAACATTAAACTTCCTGTTTACATCCCCCACAGTGTTAGACCTCCAACACCCTCAGATAATAGACTACAGACTGTGTTGTGCAGTTGAGGCTTTAATCTAAAAACCTGACCTGTGGGGCTGAGCGGAAGTGAAATGCAGTGATTGCTCGGGGGGGGGGAAAAGCCACAACCAAACTGACTGAGATTAAACTTCTTTTGTTACAGGGTGGTGGTGGGAAGTCTGTCCAGCGTGTCCACGTGGAGCCCTCTACAGGTGATGACGAACCACAGCAGCTCCGACATCCTCATCCCCCTGAACCCTGCAGACCCTCAGCCAGGTACCACACACACCGACGCAGAGGCCGCACACTTTATTCAGACTCCCGTAATCCACAAGGAAGATATTAAAAAAAAAACCAAAACAAACACTTCCTGATGCCAAATCAGTTTTTAATCTCTTCAGTGCCTTTAGCCCACACTGCTGCACCGATTCCCCTCGTCACTGTTTCACAAAGATTCTGTGATATTTGTTTGACTGTTTTTTGTTTGCTGCTGACAACAGCTGCGCACGGCTTCAGCGCGGGGATCAGTTATTTATCAGAATGAAATGTAGGGACTTTCTGTGCAACTCTATATCTTTACTTTCACTTCCATTTTGTTTCAGTGAGCTCTGTGGAGGACACAGCTGCATTTCCTGCTCAGTGTGAGTCAACAGAGCCGGTGGGAAACTGTGAGAGCAGCAGATCAGAGCTGACGTTCAAGTAAGCTTCAGACGGGGATGATGTGTTATCATGGGAATCATTTGCAGTGATGGGGGAAAAATATTTGTCAGGTATAGTCACAGGAATTAACATCCTGGTGTGGTCAGTGTGACTTTTTTTTTTTTTGCTGCAGCAGTAGAAAAATAAATTATGATGATGAAAGAGTTTCAAAAGTACCTGATTTTCTCTTTTCATGTGTTGCAGTATGGAGTCCAGTCCACCGACGCAGCCGGCTCCAATTTCCAGCGTGCTGCCAACATCTGGTCTGCCAGAGTCCATGACAGTGGGTGAGTGTTTCTCCTCTTCCCACATCTGTCTGTCTCTTGCTCTTCTTGTTTGGTTTGTTCTCGAAACCTGTTCTGTGGAACGATTCGTCATGGATTTTTCTTCACATGTGAACCAGCATCATAAAGTGTCTTTTCACTGGACTTCACTTGTAGCAATTAAATCACTTTAACTGCAAAAAAAACAAACAACAAACAAAACGAGGTGGATTACATTTCTCACGAATGATGGCGACGGTGAAAAAAGATGCGAGGACTCACACTGTTGATAAAACCTGCAGTAACTGGAGCGTCGTCAGTCATGCACTGCAACAACTCCCCCGATAGAGAGAACACAGACGACTCTGTGAAGTAGTCAAATGTGCTGATTTCAAATAAAAAAAAATCTAAAAAATCTGCCAGTGGGGCCAGCATAAACCACTTCTGAGGTTTTCTGGAAATTAGCATAAAATCAAGCCACTCCAAAACACTATTAAACCTGAGAGCTGCTGGGAAAAGCCTGAGATTGAAGCCAGCAAGAAACTCTCTCTTATGGACTGCTCTTATTTTGTACTTCTCTGCTCCACAGCCGGTCAGATCAGTGATACAGATGATCCACATTAAATATGACAGTTAAACTCTCGATAGTGGAATCGCCACTTTCTCTTGAGGTTTTATCAGAGTCTCTCCTCTCAGAGAACATCCCCAAGAAGTTTGCGGCAGTAATGAATCCTTTGGAAGTCCTCACATGTCTTTGTTGGGAAATGTCACCGCAGCTGTCGTCTGTAGTAAATTAAATCCAACCTGCTGATTAGTTTGCAGTTAAAAGTGATCTAATTGCAAACGAGCGAGGCTCTGTGCCAAGAGGTTGCTCAGACGTTTGCCACCTTTTTTCCATCACAGCAAACCATCCACATGGTGGCACTGTTGGTCCAGTGTGTGCACATGTTACTGTACTTGGATACAAACACTCCTCTGCCCCCCCCCCCCCCCCCCCCAAAGAATTTATTTATTTATTTATTTTTGGTGAGAAAGTGAGATTGTGTGAATGCCTGAAATTTACATCAGCTGTGAGATTTCAGAAATTTGAGATTCAAACAAACACTAGATGAGCATTGCATTAGCAGAGCTTAGACCCCTAGCCACTCATAGTGATGCTGTTTGATTCCTTGGATTGTGTGTGTGTGTGTGTGTGTGTGTGTGTGTGTGTGTGTGTGTGTGTGTGTGTGTGTGGGAGAAAGAGAGGCTGAGCCAGGGGAGGAAAGGTGAGTGCAGCCGCCTGTGAGCGCGGGGATGGAGCCGTTGTCCAGTCTATTAGCCCTCGGTAAGAGGAGGTCACGGGGTCACAGAGAGAGAGCCGGGGCAGAGAGAACAGTCGTCGAGGTGCAGAGCTACACGACGCCTTGGAAACATATATAACAGCCGACCTCAGTCAAAGATCAGCTTTTTGATTAAAAAGGCAAATCCGCTTGTAATACATGATTTTGATGTCGGCCCCTTTAAGATCAAAGAGCAACGAGCTCTTTTCTCTCTGACGTCCAGCAGTCACATTCGGAGAAATCCATCGATACCGATTTCTATGCCTGCTGTCACGTAACCCACAGCAACAAGGGGCAGCCACTACGGGGGTAGTGATATCATCAGGATTATTTATACCCAGCTATGTTTTTTTTTTTTTTTTTAAGTGGTCCAATTGAAAAACATGTAATGCAGCATTATGGGAAATTTCAGCACGCTGTGTTTGTTGTCGCTTGTTGTTATAGAGAGTAAAAATCAGGATGTCTCAACCTCTGCTGCTTCAATTTTGACCATTATTTATTTTATTTATTTTAAATGAGCCTCTTTATGGAAGAACAATACTTAATCACTTGAGCTTGTTAATAAATTCAGAAATCTGAAGTGAGTAATAAGATGTTTTATGAATAGAAAAATTAGCGACGTATCATTAAAGTGTCTGTATGTTTTTAGTGCGGAGGATTAGTTAAAAACAGCTGATGACGGGGTGCGCTCATTTAACGATGACGGCCTCGTGAAGCGCGCACACACACACACACACACACACACACACACACACACAGACGCACGTACAAAACATTCTGGATTTTAAAGTGCACGGGAGAAAGTGAGAGGAGAAATGGCGTTAGAGAGGAAGAAGCAGAAGTGTGTGGCGCAGAGTTCTCCCTCTCCCTCGGTGTGTGAGGCCAAGCAGTCCATTGATTGGAGAGTATGGAGTCTATAATTCACAAGGCACCTCGATTACATGGCCTAGCTCTCTGCTAATGCCGCTATTATTGGAACAATTGAGCAAGAGCGTGTAGGTTCCGGTGGACACACACACACACACACACACACACACACACACACACACACACACTTTTTACTCTTTCCCCCAGCAAAGGTGGCTGTTACACATATGAGCTGCGTGCATACGTATCTGCGCTCTCACACACTCACTCTTTCTGCTGTAATTTGCCCGCGTCCCCCTGCGAGGACAGAGGGGCGTCTGGCTGCACTGAAGTCCCTAATGGCTCGTCTGTGGCACCCGCTGCGAACGCGTGGTCGGACTAAAGGTCACATTTATTTCTGGCCTGCTGATGTGGAGAATGGAGCTGTGGAGATAATAGACTTACTCTTTTCTGCTCCTGTGTTGTGCTCTTCATCACACTCCTCCTCCTCCTGCTCCTCCTCCTCTTCCTCCTCCTCCCCCCAACCAGGCACTTACCTCGGGGTTGGAGGAGACCTACTTGTGTCTGGGGCTACATTGACACCCTACATTAGTTATGAGCATAGAGTTGTGGTCTCTCTCTGCATGTGTGTGTGTGTGTGTGAATGGTGGAATTCAAAGTGCAGGGTAGATTAACTCCTTGTCTCATGGTTGTTATTTTTGGAAAATTTGTGGTACCAGTCTCTTTGTGCACCTCCAGCCATAACTAAGAAGATGAGTCACTGCACCACCACACAGCCAGGTCTGTCCTTAACATCAGGATGGAGATAAACATCAGCTGACTGCTGACTGCTGGCAGACTGTGCCTGTAGCTGATGCAGTCCAATTGACGGGCTGAAAAACATATTGAGAGTTTTAGAGTAAAGTTGCTGGTATCTGATATTTTGAATTAAAAAAAAAAAAAGATAAATTGAGCTGCAACTAACTTTATTATTTCCAACTCGTATTTCAGTTACCATTTCTTTTGATTGATTGCTTAAGTCCATAAAACCTCAGACAATAATGAACAATGCTCATCACAACTTCCTCCAGGCCGAGGTGTCACATTGTCAAATTGCTTTTTTTAATTTTTTTTTATTCAACCGACGGTTCAAAACTCAAAGATAGTCAATTTGTAATCTTAAAAAAAAAAAAAAAAAAGAAAAGAAGAAAATCCTTAGAAGCTGGAACCAGTGAATGGTCAGCATTTTCATTTTTAAAGAATGAATTGAACTACCTATTGATTGTCTGTGACTGTTTGACGACCCGTTTCAGCACTAATCGTCTTCATTGACTCTAATGAATGGGATCTAAATGGCGATGACCTCTGGATAACACACTGAGGACTCAGACTTCCCACTCACAATCTCATTCTACTCACGGTGGGGGGGGAAAAAAAATCATTTAAAGATCTCCTCCAGACGTGTTTTAAGATGTATAGAAATGGTTCAATTACCTGGTTAAAACTTCTTAAAATTACATCTACTCTTAGCGAACTACTCTTCACTTGAAAAAGTTGTAACGCCATCTCCTTCTTCACTGATGAGTCCGTTGTGCACAAATACATCCACGCAGCAAAGTGACGGCCAGACGTCCAGGTGAAATCACATTAAACGAAACACAGTTTTTGAGCTGCTCATTACGCTCGTTTTCAAAAAGACAAATATGCAATCACCGTCTGACTGTACAAGCCATCTTTTGAACATAAGCTTGATGTTTCAGTTGCTCTCATTCCTGTATTTTAAACAGCATCAGTTATATGAAACTGTTTTTCTATAAAGTTAGATTGGTTTAGCTTCCTTCGTCAGCTGCTGGTAGGTAATTGAGATGTATCAGTCAAATTGACCATCAGGAGGAAGAGGATGGTTTTTCTTTTCACGCTGAAAGTTATGATAGTGATAATTAAAACCTTGATGGATTTCTGCCGTATAGAGATTTTGCAGTGAGCATGCTGGAGGGTTCAGCTCATTGAGATCCTGAGTAGCTCAAAATTGATGAAATTACTACAGCAACACGTTTTTTGGAAAAAAAAAAAAAAAAACCCCAATGCAAATGAGAGATATTCAGCTGACTATCATAATGGCGTTTTCCGGTTGTTATTTAGCATGTGTTTGATTGGCTGTCAGACACATTCATGTGAAGTAGTCGTGGTCAAGTAGAGTTCTGCCAACAAGAAGTAAGTGAAACCCTTTGGTTTGACCTGGTTTTCCACCATTAGGATCATGTTATCTGCTGCGTGTTCAGGTCAACCTTAGTTTGCCATTTTATGTCTACGTGTTTTGGATAGTGCCAGTGGAGATGTAGGGAGAGAAAGTAGCCGGCTGGGAGTCGAACTGGGGGATTCGCTGCTTATTATCTCATCAGCCCACACGTCACGCTTTTCACATACGGACCTTATAGACGGTTTTGTCTGACTGTGAACTGATCAATGTCTAAACTCTTTGAGATGCCTCTGTAAACCTCGCAGCTTTATGCAGTTCAGCAATTCTCGATTGTAAGTGTGTGAGATCTATTTTTTTGGTTGTGAAGCGTGGTTCACATCAGCAGAAGCTTCTTGTGAATAACGAACTATAAATGAGTCAAAGTGTCTCTGCCTCACACCTCCAGTCAAGTTTCATTGGCTGGACTCCAGGCTTGATAACTCCTGACTTCAATCAGCTTTTGTTGTTCGTTACACACACACACACACACACACACACACTTTTTTCAACCTGCAATACAGAACAACACAATGATCTGTGTGTTATTAGTTAAAATAGATTGTGTAACCTAAATGAAGATTTGACCATTTGACAAATTTATACATAAATGCAGATAATTCCAAAGGGTTCACTTACTTTTTCTTGCCACTCAATGTTAATGCAAATGTCGCCCCCCCCCTTCCTTTATTATCTCGGATTACTTTCTTTCTTCTGTGTTTTATAGGAGCTATCATAAAAGTATGATTTAGCAATAAAGATCCTGCTCTCTGTGAGTCAGATATAACTTCTGTCAGAGGGAAAAAAAAAAGTAAAACCTAATTTTATCAGAGCAGTTCATCTCAGGGGCGGAAAGGAAAGTGCAGCATTAATCCAGCAAATGGGGAGTGAAAGTGGGATTTTGTTATTTCTACATTTCGAAACTGAAGGTTATTAGTTTATGCATATTGCTGTGGTGCGCTGTGTGTGTGTGTGTGTGTGTGTTTTATGTGTTTGAGGTGGTTTCAGTGCCGAAAGTCTCACCCTGTTCTCCCTCCTCTGCAGTGGAGCTGCGTCAGGCCATTGTAGCCATGATGAACAGAAAGGACGAGCTGGAGGAACAAAACACGTACGTTTGGATATTTCCTTCCTTATCTGCTGCTCCCAAACCCCCCAAACACACACACACACACACACACACACACACACACACACACACACACACACACTCAGACTCAGACTGGAAGAAGATATCGAATGACCTTTCTTTATGAATTGTCTCAGCTTGTTTTCTTCTCATCCTGAGACGAGAGGCAGTTTTGTGCTGACTTGAGGCAGGAAACCAGAGGCTGTGATTTACATCCATTTAACAGCTGCTGGAATTGATCGTCGAGCAAAACTGCAAAGCGTAGCTCAATAATATTCTGTTGGAAATGGCCAGAAAACACAGTATTACGCATCGTTGTGATCAATCATAATTAATGTGAAGCGTCTGCCAAGCGGTATTTAGGTTTTTATGATACACTGTGATTTGTACTTGTGGCATTAAATCAACAGCGATGCAGCCACAGATGTGTGTTCAGTGTTTGATAATCGGAGCTGAATGTGATTCAGACACTCAGTTATTGCAGCAATTAAGAAAGCTTAATAATGTTCATTAAATCTACTGTTTATGATCTAAACATTACCAGAGTGTCAACATGTAGCGCTGTAGAGGATCAGGTCTGTTGGGAGACACTTCGCCTGGATACGATCGGTGATATTTCGTGTGGAATCATGTTACATGCATGTGACGGACTTCATGTGTTCGACAGCTCTCTTCGCTGCCTGCTGGACGGGGAGATGGAGCACTCGGCGGGCCTGAGGCAAGAAACTGATCTGCTGAAGAAGAAGCTGGCGGAGCTGGAGGAGAGACACACAGCCAAGGTCCAGGCACTGGCCAGGTGAGAAGCAGCCCAGGGGAAGTCTGCAGAAATGGACATTAATGCAGTCGTCTCCTCTCACAATACGGGAGATTAACTGCATTAACTGCTGCACTAGCTCGGATTTATTTAAAAGGAGAAACTGACTCATACTGTCAACCTTTTAACACGGTTTGGGGCTGCAACAAAGCAGAGCTTCGCAGCACCCCTACCTGAGTCAGTGTTGAGAAGCCATTCTCACGCAGAGCTGCCAAAAAATTCACACTTTCCAGCCTCCTCAAATTTTAGCATTTACGTTTAAGAAAACTAACACATGAAAAAAGAAAAAAGCACTTGAAAATGCTTCCGTAAAGGATTTTCTGGGATTTTTTAAAAACCAAATGGTCGATTGATTAATCGAAATAATCCGGAGATTAATCAGTAATAGGGGGAAAAAAAATAGTTTATTTCTGCTTTTGAAAGAACAAATCTAAAGAAATACAAAACTTTGTTTGTCTCTTGTCACTTCTGACTGAATGTGTTGCCAAAAGATTTTCCTTCAGAGCTTTAAACGTCTCATCCTGTCCTGGATAAAAACATGAAGCTTCCTAATGCAGTTCTGAACAGTGTGGCCAGTACTGAAATAACAACGCTGACACAAGTGGATGTTGTTTCCTGTGTCTTCGGCTGGACTGAAGCAGGGGGGCGCTGGTGGGAGGAAAGTGCAGCAAAACATTTTTTTTATTTAAAAAGCCAGAATTGTAATCACTTGACACTGTAATGATTGGGTCATTGGCACTGACCATTAACCTGTCAACCCCCTGCAGATAGATAATGGCTGTTTTGTGCCGGAGGGGGGGGGGGGCACACTACACTACTTTTTACATAATGCAGATTTAATTCCACGGCCATCCAGCCCGTCTAAAAACCGAGCTTTTCCCACATCACAATAACGACAATAACACTAACAGTCCTTATTAACATTACTAATCACCCGTGTTTGACAACGTACAATGTCTTCTAGTCAAAGAAGACGAGCCGGTTTGTGAACTTCTGTTTTTTCCCCCTCATTTATTTGGATCTACAAGTTTAAACAAAGAACTTTTCCGTCAATAAACAGAGTGTGGAAGCTGTAGCGGCCCAGAGGACCTTCACGTCTGTGATTAAAGCTGCTTTTGTTGCCGCTGATTGTGCTGGGCTGTTGCCTCGCACCTACGGCGGCGGCATCACTGTTTTACACATAATCACAGTAATTACCGCTGCGCCCAGACAGGAAGAGGAAACTGTAAGTATCTGGAGGACGGGATGTCAGAACAACATTGGAAACTTTTTTCCCCCTTTTTTCGGTTCTCAAACGTACGTACACTTTTGTCTCCAGTAAGCGACCACCTACAGCTTCCCCTGAAAGTGAATTGCGTCACCTCAGCATCTACAATTGATTGCCTGTACGCCAGAAGTTCTTCGGTTGAGCCCCGAGCCCTTTAAATAGAGGATTAGTCATCCTCCAGCGGTCTAAACAGGAAGCCCCGGCAAGTGTTGTGTTCAGATAGTAGCCTCCTCCAGCAAGTCAAGCCACCTGCGAGGATTGATCCGAGTTTACTCAGAGTTAAGTGTGTTGGGACTGCGGACGCTGATGGGTTCGTGGGCATGACAGTGCAGGGGCTGATGGGGGCTTTTTTAATATGTGATGATTTTCATGTTCGCGTGGAGCACTTTAATGGAGTGGAAATGACAACGAGAGAGAGAGAGAGAGAGAGAGAGAGAGAGAGGCAGAGGAGAGGAGTGTACTAGGAACACAAGTGATGGCCTCACAATTGCCTCCCTCTCCTCCGCAGGTGACTGTGACACACCGTGTGTTTTCCCTCACAACTCAACACACACACACACACATACACACACACACATACACATGAAGCCGATTCCCATAGTCTGCCGCTAAATCTCAAGTGCTGCTTCTCCTCCTCGGCCAAATCTGCCTCGATCAATCGTGGCTATAAATACCGCTGAAGGAGCAGCTAGCCGCTGAATGAGGGTTGAAAGCTGTCAGCATCATTCAGGGAAAAGAAGCTACTGGCAACAGTTGCTATGTATCCCACAATTCTTTGTGATTATCTCGCACTGAGAGCGAGCCGGGGGGCCGAACACCAACATCTTATCATCTGCTGGCTTCCTCGTTGACCGACCGGCTAACTCAATTACTCTACTGCTGCTGCGTTAATTAAGACTGATTGGTTAATGAGCGTTAACTTTGAGAGGAGTCACTCTGCCGCACAAGTGTTCAGGTGAAACGTTTATCACATAATGTTTTAGTTCTTCTGGTAGAGCAGCATCCAAACCCAAAAAAGTGGCATGTGCGTTCATGTGTGTGTGTGTGTGTGTGTGTGTGTGTGTGTGTGTGTGTGTGTGTATATGGGGGTGGCAGAGGATGAGCGAGTCGCCATAGATAGATTTCGGCTGACGTCGACTCCGGCAGAGGGGAGTGGGCTCACTCACACGTCCGTCCAAATATAGCATGAAAATGTAAGACCCCTTACACTCGCACATTGACACATCGCAGCCCACGTCCTTGCTCCCAGCTTCTAACACGCACATGCAACAATCCTCCCGTACGTTTGCTTGCCGCTGAACGCAGATACACCCAGTGGCAAAGTAGCAGTAGGTTCAATCCGAGCTGAAAGAAACAGTCCTGCAACAAACGCGCCCTTCATCACGGTGTCGATTCAGCTCTGGGAGCGAGGAGGCAGTTCGAGCTGCTGTTGAACTGTACTGCAGCATGTAGATGTTTCTGTTGTTTAGAAAAATAAATCACAATTTACAGGCACCCTGTAGAGTTTTTTTCTTTGCATATCGTGCACATGCACAGGGACGCAAACACATGGGCAATCAATAGCTCGCAGGTGATGTGATGCATAACACTTTGATGGTGATAGCAGGAGCTCTGTGTTATCTGGTTCAGCGGTTCTCAAAGCGGGGTCCTGGAGGTCCCAAGCAAAAAGGGGAATCATTTATTTTCACCATAATTTCATTCATAATTCTGTAATAAAACCTCTAAAAGCAAAAAATCTTATCAGACGGGGTCTGCGGTCTAATTTGTGTCAGTTTCAGGGGCCTTGACGTGAAAGAGTTTGAGCCGCTGATCTGGTTAATATGGACGTAAACATCGCAGGATTTAAAAAAATATTTTTAAAATGTGATTTGTAAAAGTTTTATGAGGAGGGAAATTCCTACACACAATATGTTGCGGGGATAAACACTGGATGTTAACTCCACAGGACGGCTTGAAGTCGCAGTTGAATATGAGTCAGAAATATCGCAATTAAACATTTCCCTCTGTAGGTTGATATTCAAACATTTGTGATCACACACGATATCTGGCCTCACGTCTCAGTATCTTCACTGTCACCGCTAATGATAACAGAAATAGAGTCGTTAAAAAACCTGTTGCTTTAAATATGGATGTCCAAAACCAAAGTAGTCTTGCACACATACACACACACACACACACACACACACCAAACTTTCCCCACAACCATTTCTTGTCCCCCTTTTTTAGACGTCACTTGGCCGAGCAGAAAGCAGGCCTCTCGCAGCAGGAAGACGGGAAGGCAGCCAGTCGAGTGGGCTTGGGCCAGGAAGCGCTACCTCGTCACAGGGAGAGGGGGTGGTTGGACAGGCGGACACATACTCTCACACACACACACACACACACACACACACACACGCACAAAAGAAATGAGAGCAGATGCCTTTTTCTTAGCTGGCAGGGCTGCAGTCTTTTCTCCGGGCAGTCTGCTGTAGCTGATCTAAGAAGTGGCAGCGAGAGCGGCTGTGAAGTTTGCCTAGTTTACTTGTTGGGAGTGTTTAGGCTCGCTGTTTTTCTATCTGTTGGAAGTCAATTATGTCACTCTGCCCAGGGGGGCCTTTTCCCTTCAATGCTGAGGTTTTAACAATCCAGCCCTGCACCCCGGCCTGGCCTCGTTGAGCTTGAGTGTGGGTATATATATATATATATATATATGTGTGTGTGTGCGCGTGTATATGAGTTTATACAGCTTTGGGCATTGGGCCTTTGGAAGTGTGACACAAGAGTGTATACTTATAATGTATTTTCTGAGAGGCTGAGCAGTAAATTGCACTCAGGAGCTTTACCCAGCGACTGAGCTGTCTGTCTCTGAGGGCGTCTTTGAACCTCTCATTTACCACTTCCAAACGAAAGCAGACCGTACCTGAAGAACAGCCAATTTAGCCGCGTTTATCGCACATTAAGACGTCTGCGGAGCATGGCGATGATAAAAGAAAGGGGTGGGGGGGAATACAAGGAATGAAAATCACCCCAGGGCTTCATCTCAACTTAAGAAATTACTGCGTGTAGTTGAAGTTTAAGATTTCCTCTTGAGATACTTTTTGTTCTTTTCTTCCAGAGAAGATAAGACGCACCGTCCTTCCTCCCTCTCTAATAGTCTGTTACAGTATTTGCTTTATACAAAGCTCAGACTTTACAGTCATTACTGACTTTCCCTCTTTCATACAAAATATTTACAATTTCTTTATCTCTCAAACACACCGTTTCCCCTGCTTTCTCCATCTTTATTTGCACGCAGTTTAAACGTGTCTCACACACAACACAACACAACACACTCTCTCTCTCTCTCTCTCTCTCACTTTTGTTTCTTTTGCACAAAAAACAGCCAGAAACTCATTAATAAATCTCCTTATGCACAATCACTGTTTGTCTTTCTCGCTGGTCTCTCACGTGGAAGAAGATGAGATGACTTCAACAGTTTTATTAATCAACACAGCTAATAGGCTTATCCTCTGAGCAGACATTCACTCTCCCAGTATTTCTGGGTCACACTACCGCCCTTAATGAGAAAGCGGTTTGCGGCTGGTCCCGCATCAGCTGGACAGAGGATGCAGTTGTTACAACAGAGATGCCCCGGAAAGTGCTTCACTTCAGACACACTCATTTAAAACTTTTACCGTCCCCGGAGGCAGAGAAGGCGCTTAGAGCTTCAGATGAGTTTCCAACACTCCGCATTTGCAGTGATCCGACATTCACTAGAAGCGACGCATCAAACGACTTAATGGATCGCTCTCAATTGGAAAGCGTCGACAGAGGAGCCAAAGCTGCAGTTTTGGAGTTGAGGAAAACTTGCACAGTGTTGTGGCTCCCAGGGTGATTTTGTAGTTTAGTTTTGTTTAGTATCCGTCGCTCACCTTCTCTCCTGGGAGTCTGACTGATGCTGGACTCGCCAGAGGCGTTTAGGGAAGTGAATGCGGCTCAGAAATCTAGGATTGCAACCTCACTGGGTATTTAAGCTAACAGCATAACACTGTTTGAATGTATGGATGCAATATACACACTGTATGTTATAGTAGATAGTAGATAGATAGTTTACTCACTAGTAGTCCAGGTATACAAAGCAGAATCAGCAAGGAGCAGGAAATACTTCATGGTTTCCTTTCCTGTGAAGAACCTCAGACTTTGGGTCTTAATGAGATTTGTGATGCAAAGCAAAGGCGGCTTTTTCTACGATTTCTACTCAGTGAATGGAAACTTAAACCAGGGCGGGAGGAAAATAGATTGTTGGGGAGATGTTGAGGCATGTTGTGGAGAGTTTTCCTGTCAGTGTTGAGCAGGTTTATTGCACAGGCAGCTGTACGACCTGAGGGAAGCCGCTTCAATCCAGACAGTGACGCAGAGGGCGCGTTTCACACCTCCAAAGTTGTGTTTTATCAGTGTGCTCTGAAATTGGATTTGAGAGTCAGCTGTGCAGGGTCAGGCTGTTGTAAGAGCCGGGGGTTCTCCCTCATAACCTGCAGGGCGCTTGCTTATTCACACTGTCGCAACCGCGTCGCTCCTGTGATGTCAGCTGATGTCGGGCGAAGTGATGTAGGTACACGATGGATTATAAGTATAAGTATTTCTGCTGAGGCACACACATGACAACATGAGTCCATGGACCCGACCTGCCTTGTGTCAGCGGTCCATACCTCTGCCGGTGATGTAATGCTAAGGGGAATGATTTCCCGGCACGCTCTGGAGCCCTTCGTACCAATCAATCATTGTTTTACTGCCACAGCCAATCCCGAGTATTGTTGCTGACTGTGTGCATCCCTTTTACGGGCGCAATTTGCTCATCCACTAATGGCTGCTTCCAGCATGATAACGCATTTCTTTGATGCTGATATAATTTGCGGACCGGAAAACCAAAACAATGAGCTGAGAGAGGCTTAAAAGCTCCACAGAGCTGAAGGTAAGAGCAGAGTCCGGTGATAATGCCTCCAGCACTTTCACATTACACAGTCATTTGATCTGTGCGTGATATAAAGATATTGATTATTGCATCTTTAATAGTGTCTCTAAGAGGGCGGCGAACATCAGCGTGAGTCCAGAGTGAACACGTGCGGTTGCGCGGAGTTTGTAATGATGACATAGCGGCTCCTCTGTTTGTCTGAGGCTGAAAGGAGCAAACAAGAGAAAAGAGCTGAAGTGATTAAAGTATTAACTGGAACTGCGCTCAGTAGAGCGTGTTCCTCCGCCAAGGCCAAACAATCACGTCTGTCAGGTTCAGATTATTATCTGGGTCTGCAGCTGTAGAAAGTCATGCATCTCAACACAAAAATATGTCTGATTTGTTGCATTAAAATCCGTATATTATTTCCTGAGAAACTGATGAAAGTGTTGAAAAATGGAAAATTTTGCAATATTAAGGAAAAGTGATAAATAAAATTCCTAGATCCGCCTCCTCGTCTGGATCAGCACCAAAATCGACTGGGCTCCTCCCTGGGCGAGGCCCCATCCCTCCGCTAAGTCTGGTGCGAGTCGGTTCAATACTTTTTTGCATAATCCTGTTGCCAAACAAACCGACCACCTCAGCGGAGGTAACCAGTAAGATCTCTACAAGAACATTTTAACCTGAGCTTCACGTATCAAGGACAGTTGACTCACAATTTTTGTCAATTGCTGTAGTCTACCTGCTGGAGCAACATTCATTCTCTGTAAAATGAGATGGTTCTGAATATCTGTGTATCTCCCCAAGCTTCTGCACAAACACACACACACACACACACACACACACACTTGGAGCAAGCGTGTGTGTGTAGTAGCTATAATTTAATCAGGCTGGAACGGCGTCTGGGCCGCGGGTGGTTCTGATAACAGCGATGTGGACGGCTCCTCGGAGAGCTCGTCGTGTGGATTCAGAGGGTCTCCAGGCAGCCGCCTCTTTTGTTGGTGGAGAATGAGGGCTGATAAGCAGGGCACCCAAAATCACACTATGGAGAATGAGGGGTTGGGGAGGGAGGGAGGGGGGGGGCATGGGGGGCAGGGGGGGGGTAGCAAGACAAAGGCTGTTAAATTTAACTGCCAAGGGCATAAAGCCACACTCCAACTCTGATTGACTTTCCTCCCCAAAGTCGATGATGTTCAACCGGTTACGGCTTGTAAGGAGACCGCCTCTGTCTCTCACTCTTCTTTCTTTATCACTATGTCTTTGTGTCTGAATCATCAGGCACAGTTCAACACACACACTCCCACACACACACACACACACACTCTCACACACACTCTCACACACACTCAGGCATGCTAACGTATGATTGTAGCTGAACAAGGCTGTAACTTTGACCCCATTTACACTAAGACATCGACCCACATCCTCCTTCTCTGACTCTCCATCTGATGCAGCTGGATTTAAATGTACACGAGGTTTTAAAATGCATCTCTGAGGTTCTGAATACTGAAACCCAGAGGTCAGAGGTCACGCTGCTGCCTCTTCTAACACGGGCTTGTCATGTAAAAACCCCTTGAATAATCTGCGGACATGAAGCTCCGGAGAGCCAGGTGTTTGTTCCCTTTCGTTTCTTCTGATGTGAATTCATGTTGTTGATTTGATTTTGTGACTGCTTCCTGTTCCTTCAAAGTAAAAGCTGCAGCTGACTTTAATGACAAAACGCTGGTGAAACTCCTTTTCATGTCCTTATCTGTCTTTTCTCAAACATTCGCCCTGATGGAAGTTACTCCTGCAGGTGATTGTTTAACTTCTCCCGACCAAAATCATGGGCATTACTGTGCCGTTATAACAACAGCCTTTCCTCAGCGCTTTGGAGGCCGGCTGCAGTCGGGGAAGTCACTGCTCTACTACAAACTAGGAAAAAAACCATTTCTTTTTTATGTCAGTTTGAATCTTTGTCGACAGTGACAGCCCCTGGCAAACTGTTCCTCTGTGGAACTCACACTTTATAGATGGGGACATCATTATGCAAATAGAAACAGGCCTTCTCCAAAACTGCTGGAAGTGCACTGTTGTTGAAGATCTCATTCGCTGTCGCAGGTTTCACTTTATAGGAACTACGGGTTGTTGCTGACGAGAGGAAGAGTCCGACAGTATGTGTTCAGCTCTGTCTGCCACATGCTCTACTTGCGTTGGAGCTAATTCTTAATATTCACGTGTTTTAAAAATCTGCAGTTAACAGTATTTTGACTCAACGGCATCTCAACAGTCAGACCTGAAGTGAAGCTGGACTCATGCGTTCCCAGTGCTGCATGTGGGCGATCGCACACGGTTCGCTGTGAGACATTTGCATGGCTGTTTTTCATACTTGCATGTATAACTTTACTTTTGAACTTGCGTGTGTGTCGGCGCCTCCGCGAGCCTCTCGGATCTGCGGTTTTCCCTCTCTCCGTGTAGAGAGATCTGTCTCAGTCCACCTGCACAGCCGGCTCTGCTCCTCAGTCTTCGGTGCATTTCCACTTGCAAAATCGGATCGTTCGTGTCGGGATTCATGTTCATATCAGGCGTGGAGACGGTCTCTGGACCCGCCTCTTGCTGGCCTGACTGCGACAGGGGCTGTTACTTCGGTTGAAATATGAGTCCCGTCGCTTCTCTGTGAATATATCTCAAGTCTGACCACCTGGATTAGATTTCAGGTGTTTTTTTTTTTATTTTCATCGCTCCACAGGTGACAAGATGTCACAACAACGAGTTTCACACCGTCTCCCTCCACCACATGCTGTCACAAAACAGAGTAAACAACTTCCTATCACTGGCGTGTTGCAGCTCTGGTCAGAAAAATGTGCCCTTCGTCATATTACACTCTGCAGCGTCTTCACTGCGGCCGCCCCGGGAGGCAGAGGATTATTTTGTCTGTTGTGAAATAGAGGAAGGATAGTTGACATTAAAGTCTAAATTCCTTGTGTACAATGTATTGTAGTTATAGCATCCTTATTTTTATTCATGCCTTATAAGCCGTGTGTGTGTGTGTGTGTGTGTGTGTGTGTGTGTGTGCGCGCAGGGAGAATGAGGTCCTGAAGGTCCAGTTGAAGAAGTATGTGGGGGCGGTACAGATGCTGAAGAGAGAGGGGAGCCAGGGCAATGACGGTAAACCTCACACACTCAAACACACACACACACACACACACACACACACACACTCCCTCACACACTCTCTGCATCATTACGACCTGAAATTAGATTTCATATCTGTGTCCCAGTTCATCTATTCTGCTCGCAAACAGAAACGCTTATAGTTATATACACAGCAAAATAAGGTCATCACTTTCCTCCACATCCCAGATCAGTTCTGATGCGTCTCTCAGGGGCTCGGATGACTAACCTTCCTCTGTTGGTGTGAAGCGCTGTCAAACGGAGCGAGCCCCCCCCTCCCCCCCCCACGCCTGTCTCACTCTGACTTATCCTTTTCTTTTAGCTTTTGGATAGGTTTGATAACTTTGACTTTGCTTTCCTGTTGCCGGGGGATGTACGCGGTGCTCTGTTTAAAGACTGGCGAGATAAGCCCCGGCTGTATCAAAGGCAAATAAAAATGAACATGGCAGATTATGGAGGGCCACATAATGGCTAATTGCATTTTGGGGGATAGACGGGAGAGCTGTTATCTGTGACGCCCCCAAGGGTTTATGTGTTTGTGAGGTTTTTTTTTTTTTTTTATATGTTTTTGTGAGACGGAGAGGTAAAGAGATACGTAGAACTTTGTAATATCTCTAATGGTTCCTTTGTTTTTTATGGTGACATTAGAACAAACAGCTATATTTCAGCGCTGTGAGATAAGCTTTTCGTATCGAGCACCACGATGCCCGCTGCTTTTTAAAAAACAAAGCGCGGATTTTTGGCGATTGTGTTGTCATTTATTTATTTTAAGTGAAATGAAAATTTCAGGTTATTACAGCTTTGGGTGCCATAATATGCTGTTACACAGACATCAATACACAACAAACAGGAAACAAGCAGGCGGCCAATCAGACAACAGCAAGTGTGGAAGGTCAAATTTGAAGTTGGATGTTGGTGTGTGATCAGTGATGTGGTGATGAAGGGGTGAATGAATGAATAAAATCCTCTCCCAGTGTGGAGATCAGGAAACTTCCAACCTGACATTAATTTGCTAATTAGATTATTAGATTATTTTTTAATTAAAAACTTTTTCCACTTTAATCTACACCAGTTTTTGCTCATCTATACACCTTTTATTTATTATTATTATTATTATTATTATTATTATTATTTTTTATTTATTTATTTATTTATTTATTTATTTATTTATTTAAGTTATTTTGGGGCATTTTTTTGCCTTTATTGTGATGGGGACAGTGAGAGAGTGATGGAAGAAAAAGGAAAGTTGGGGGAGAGAGAGGGGATGATGCAGCACAGAGCTGGATTTGAACCTGCTGCAGGAAGGACTGAGCCTCAGTGTGTGAGCCACCCGGGCGGAGACCCACATATTCTCTATCATAGCAACAAGAGGTTGTGGTTAAAGAAGCAGCCCGCCTGTGGTTAGAAAGTACTTACTGACTGTCAACAGCAAACTTTAGCTTAATCAGCAACATGCTCCATCCTTGCAGTGGAGCTGTGGGGCTCACACAGCCTCCAAACTCTCAACAAAGTCAGACAAATTCCTGACTGGAGGCTCAACCCTCATTTGTAGGCAGAGCTACCGTTGACGAGCTGGTAGCCAAGAGGACACCTCATATAAATTAGACAACTTTCCCCCCGGGAGGCACATTTCTCCTCTTTTTGGTTGAGGCTTCCTCACACCTCCCGCCCCCTGAGTCAAGATGGCCTCATCCCGCAGCAGGACGTCCACTGAGGAGGAGCCCCTAAAGTTTAGACTTAATGTTTAGTCCGAGAGTTCCTGGGATTAGTAACTGAAATGTAATGAAAGTGTGTCGTGTTGCCCAACCCCGCTGGGATCAGAGTTTGGGTAACGATTTTACTCGTCTCGCAAATGCATCTGGCAAACTCAGGCATTTGTGTGAAGCCTGTGTGATGCTCTGACTGCTTGTGCTTGTAGCTTTGTTTCCCAGATCTCAGCAATTCACTCGGTGAGTACGATATCACTCCTGCTGGGAATGTGGCCAAAACTACAAAGATCAAATCCGTTTGAAACTGGATTTTTTTTTTTTTTTTCCTTTACCGTGCAAATTTACTTACTTACTTTTGATGAGATCTTGTATTTTAAAGTTGTAGTTATTCGGAAAAAGTCAAAATGATGATGTTCAACATTCAAGTCGATGATGTCAGGAGTGTTATCCGGGCACACGCCCCGGGTCACTTCACCTGGCCGGGGGAGGAACACAGGAAATAACCATCACTGAGCTCAAGGCCTCGGCCCTGACAAACATGTTCTGGTTTGTTATCGGGACACTTCTCTTGAGTGTGTGGTTTTGTCTTGTTGGTTTTTTATTTCTTTACCTACCACTCATTATCCTTCTCACTGATGTTGACTTTTCACTTTTCCATCATTTGTACCCTTTTCTCTCTCCCTCTTCACCCCCCTCCTCCTCCTCCTCCTCCTTGTCCTTTCCCTCTCCTTCCGTTCCCGCTCTCCTCATCCCGACAGGCGTAGTAATTCCCTCTCCACAGCGGCGTCTAAATGATTTCATCCTCCCTCGCCTCTGTCTTCTCCTGCTAATGATGTGCCTCGTTCCATCATACTTTGATGTCAAATACCAGAGTCTGCTGGTATTACGTGTGTGTGTGTGTGTGTGTTGGGAGTAGAGGAGGAGGAATGATGTGTGAGCAGTTTAAGGGGGAGCAAAAATCGTGGGAAAAAAAAGACGAGGATGAATTGATACACAAGCGGCCCTTTTTCATGTGCTGTCAGCACGTTTCCCCCTGATCAGTGCGCTGCCTCTCTCAAACCTCTCCTGTCTAATGACGGCGCTGCAGACGTGATCTCTCAAACGCTCCTCAGGCGCTGTCAGCCCCGCTGACACGCCACAAACGACGGTTCTCCTTTTGCGCTCCGTTTCAGCGGAGTGATAATTATTGTTTTTTCCTGCGTGATGCCGTCTATCTCTGCTTCTTTCGCGGGATTTCCCCTCTCTACTTACACTTGCATATGAGAGAACAGTGTATTTGTGTTGCTGTGCGTTCTTTATGTGAGCGTGGATTACAGTTCATCTTACACGCGTGGAAATCTGCATATGTCGCTGCAGCAGAAGGCAGGAAGTACATAAACGTTACACGAGCGTCGCTCCGATCTGTGTGACATCAAAGTGACTTGAATGGTGAAGTGCTCCAGATAAGTTGCGTGTAGGTACATGCGTGTCGTTAAGAGGAAGCCATTAGTTGAACACCCCCCCCCCCCCCCCCCCGAGGGACTTGTAGTGTAACAATGACAGTCATGTTTACCGTAAGGCAGAGTCAGATGAAGAGAAATCTCCGGGGAGAGACACGGAGCAGCAGTGGAGTTAACACACACACACACACACACACACACACACACACACACACACACACACACACTAACCCAGTTTTCCACAGTTCCCGTGGGTCCCAAAGATCCTCGAAGGTTCGTGCAAACGTATTAAGTCTGCACAAGTTTTTTTTTTTTTTTCTCAACATGAATCAGTGGCCTTGAAAGAAAAACCAAATGAGTTTTTAAATTACTATAATCTGCGTGAGTCCTCTGCACTCCTGCTCGTTATATTTGTGCAGATGTTAGTGGGTCAGTGTCTCTAAACGCTAAACTTCAAACAAACTGTCCGCGGCGCGATGTGACACTGATGCTGCAAGTTAGTTTGTGCTTCGGTTTTAAGAACTTTGTCATGTGAGACGCCCCTAGATTAAATCCAGATGCTGTTTTCATCATGTTGCCCCAGCTCTCTGCAGCTCCCTCTGTCCGGGGCCTGATCTGAACGGGACCTGTGCACTCGTTAACTTTCAAAAAAAAACATCGAGACCCCGGTATGAAAAGGGAGCAGATCCGCACAGACTGAGGGATAATGAGACCCGGCCCCAAGTCCAGTCAACCGAGACAGACCTAAACTAGGAGGGGAACACTGGTGATGATTATGACTGCAGCATGTGATCGGAGCTGAGAGCGACCATGCTCCGATACACACAGATTGTGCCGAAACGACAGGACAACAACTCGCTCAATTAAAACATAATCTGGATCTGATCCTAACCGGGTCCTGGGTTGGATCTCGGTTTCCAGGATCTGATCGGACCTGGGAAGAACATGCAGTGTTTGTTTTGCTTTTGCTTTAGTTTTATCTTCAAGCTCGACCTCGTTACAGTAAACAGCCAATCACCGCCGTTATTAGATCTCTGTCCCGACATGCTGCCTTCTTATTGGCTCACTGACACTAATGAGATTTACTCTTTTACTCCTCACCTTTTTGTTTTTCATGTAAAAACCCCACAGGCCAGCGGCTTCTTGATTTACATCCAAATCCCCCAAGAAGCAGCAACTTTATCACCCTCGCTCCTCAGATCGACACACGGTGCATCAGATGTGGGCTACAAACATTAAGGTCGGGCCGTCCTCCAGTGCAGCAGAGACAAGGGAAGAAGTGTTAGGGAAGATTTACGGCTGAGCAGAGACAACAAACACATAAAAACTTAGTACGAGCCTAAAGTCAGAGACTAACTATCTATTACTCTTATGTTTGTTTTGTCAGACTCAAAGATGATTTGATGTACAGTGATTCTCTCAGACTCTGGATGTAGCCGGTCACTGGGAGAAAGAAAGAGCCTGAGGCGAGGAAGTCTATTAACTAAAGTGAGGTGAGAGTGTGAGAAGCAGAAAGGGTAAGAACAGGCTGACTTGTGATCGAGCTTGCTGTTGTCTGAAGTCAATTGGCGCGATGATAGATGAGAAATAAGGAAACTGACTGGATAAAAAAACAAAAACAAAAAAAAACATTGTTTTCCTCTGAAAAACCCCCCCCCCCCCCCCCCCCCCCCCCAGTGGAAGCTCTTTGTCTTTCTGGTGATAATGTTTCAAGGCATTTCATTCTCCCAGGGGGGGAGGGGGGAGGTTTAATGGCTGGCTGGTTGACCGGCTGGTGTTTGACTGACTGCTTTACCTGGGGGATTGATTCCCCCAGGAGGACGCCCCCCCCCTCCCCTCCTGAGAC